ATTGACCCTCACTATGCAGTTTCCTAACTGTTTACCTCTCACTCCTCCATTTAGGTCAGCCTCTCATTGACCCAAACATACATGTGTGCTTGTCTGACTATCTTTCACATAAGATGGAATGTCTAGCGTTGTAATTATTCATTTTTCCTTTTTATTATTAGCTTTTCCTTCAAACTATGTCTAGACTAGCAAATATGTCTAGTAGCATAGTTGTTATCCAGTGATAGACATGTGAGCCTAACCTTGCTGTGTTAAACCCTTAAAAAAATTTTTTTTTCACAGTTAATTATGCAGGTGTATTCTTCTGAATCTTGGTGTGTTTCCGTGAGCCTATACTTAATGACTGTAAGCCTTGACGGTCTTTACCTGTGAAGTGAACCAAAAATAAAGAATTTAAAATGTTTAATTTTTTTAAATTTTTTTTTAAATGAGCAATTCTCTCGCCAGTGTCGCCAAATTCACAGTTTAGTGAAAAGGTCCCAACCGTTACTGAATACACAAGAATGTCCAGATCCTGATCAAGACAGCAGTGTGAACCAGCAGTACCACAAAATGAATAATTTGTTTATTTACAATTTGTGATGAAAATCAATAAATCTGTCCACGATATGAAAATAAAAGTGGACCCGACCATTTGAAAAGGAAGTTATATTCTGATTGGCAGGTTTGTAACTAGCATTCAGATCTTATGACTAACTGGTGAAAGAAGCATTGAGACCTGAACATGGGCAAGTCTTGTAACTTTTACATTTGTCTTTTTCCACACATAACTAAGCATTACGCTACCAACACTACTTTGCTCAAAGTAACGTTTTTCTCAATGACTATATGAAAGACAGTCAAAGTAACTTTTTAAAATTATAAAAACAGATGCAGTCACATATTGCACGCTATTAAGAAACAGCACAAACCACAAGTGGGAATTAGAAATATGTTTTATTGAGGGAAAACATTAAATTCCGATATATATATAAAGTCATATTTACAAAACCGGAAAAATATCCTATGCCAAGAAGTAGAAACATGTAGCCCCTCTCCCCTTCATCCGCCCCAATAGCTGTAGAAGGAACTGGTTAAAGTAAAAGAAGAGCAGCAAGTGTGACATTCTCCGAGTCGGACAACTGTAGGACCACTGGTGGCCAATATTAATGGGAATTAACATGTAACAATTTTAGTTTTCATTTAGTGATGCCCAAGCGAAACCGTAATATCCATTGTAACCCAACGTGTTTAGAGTATGACAATCTCCAGTTGGAAGAAAGTAATGGGAATTGTAACCAAACACCTGCCCAACAGAACGTTGACTGAGAGTACCTGCGACAGGCAATGTTACCGAAAACCCCTGAAATAAACTCACAAATGGACTGTTTGGGACAGGAGATAAGGACATTAAATGGAAAATCAATTAGATAATGGACTGTTAATAAAATGTTTGGAAGCCTCGTGGAAAAAGATGATGTTATACAAACTGTGATTTTTTTTTTGTTTTGTTTACACTCATCCTTCATCTGCACTTGGATAATATACTCAAGGCTGCTGTGTGGTCATGGTGGAAGATTGAGATTTACAGAACGCACAGCCCACCTCGCTACTGACAGGACATCGGAGCCGAACAAGCCATGTAGGATAGTTAGAAATTAAATAATACCTGGGCTCTCTCTGAGATCATCGTCACTGACCAATTACAAATGCACTGTCCTTGAAATGCGTTGGAGACAACACTACAGTGCAAAACTGTACAGATACCACCACTAATTCCACCTCAGTCCTCCAAAATTTCTGCAAACATCTTCCGCCTCTTCTTCTCTGCCTGCTGATGCTCTTCCCAGTCTTTTCGGCGCTTCACAAAATGTGTCAAAGCAAAATTACGGGCAATGTGGTGGCCAATCGCATCGTTCTGAAGCTCATTTAGTCTTTCAACTACAGGGTGAATGCAAAATAATAATTAATCAACACAGGCCATGAATATGGCCTAAATTTACAACAGAGGAAAATAGACATGTTTTCTAACACCTGAATATTTAGTAGAGGTGCAGAATTATATATACCTAGTTGCTGAGCAATCTCCTCTTTCACGCCCATTGTAGATGCAGCCCAAATTCGATCAAGTACTCTACTTCCATGCTTGTTACACGCAAGCTGCATGCTGTGAACCTGTGTAATAGATCAGAGTTACCACGTATCAAGAGGAACCATCACTTTTCACGAAATTAAAACTACTCAATAAAACATTGAAAATCTTCTATAACTTGCATTAACTTTTTATTCCTGGGATGCATTTTACCTTTGTGTATAAAAGATTTAGCCAACAATATCACAATCTAGTTAGTCCTGGCACGACTAGGGCACAGTGTCAGGTCCCCTGCCCCCGTGTCGCTCGTGGCGACCTTGCGAGCGGCGTCATCTGGTCCCTGTCTCCAGACTGGCAGTGTGTCGGATGCTGCACGCTCCAGAGCAGCTTCCTTATATGTGTGCTGCACCCGGCACACAATGATGACCTGAGAGACCCCTCCCACGTGTTGAAGTTAACACTAATTGGAGATTAGCCAATCAGACACACCCTGTGTGTATATAAGCTAACCTCTCCCTTGCCTCAGTGCCTGTTGTGGTCTTTGGTTTACCATTGAGAGTTGCACTTGTTATTTGGATTTCCTGGTTACTGATATTTGGCTTTGACTCTCGTTATTCCGTCTCTCTGTTTCCCTTGACCTCGGCTCGTGTTTGGACTATCCTTTTTTCATAACCCGACCATTCTAAGGATCGGTATTGCAATTCTCTCTTCTCTGTCCTGTATGCGTGTTAGGTTTCCCTAGTGAACGTTACACACAGACTGCACTGGAGAAGGATATACACTCCACCTCCACAATACTAAGTACAGTGACAGAAAAGGGAATAACTTATAACAATTATTGATGAGAGCCAAAAAGGAGACTCTTCGTTCCAAGAGTGATGTCTAGAATTAAATAGAGTTACTTTTCTTTCATAACACATTCGCAAACCAAATATTTATATGGATAAGTAAATGGAATATTAAACAGTTTTCAACTCATTCTTGAGATTGATATACACTGATCAACAACATTAAAACCCCCTGCCCAATATCATGTAGGTACCCCTCGTGCTGCCAAAACACAAGACCTCTGAATGAGCCCTGCAGTATCTGTCACCAAGACATTAACAGCAGATCCTTTAAGGCTTGCAAGCTGCAAGGTGGGGTGTCCATGGATTTGAATTATTGTTCTAGCACATCCAACCAAGTCCAATTCAAATCTGGGGAATTTAGATCCCAAGGTAACTCATTGAACTCTTTTTTTTCCTTTTCATTAAAGCATTCCTGAATAATTTCTGTAGTGTGGCTGGATGCTGTTAAAAGAGGTCACTTCCATCAGAGAACATGATTGTAATGAAGGGGTGTACCTTGTCTGCAACAATCTCTAGATAGGTGGCTAAAGTAACATCCACATGAATGCCAGGACCCAAGGGTTTGCAGCAAAACATTGCCCAAAGCATAATACAGGCTCAGCCTGCCTGCCTTTTTCCCATAGATTTAAAGGGAAAAGTGATTAATCAGACCAGGCAACCTTCTTCCATTGCTCCATGATCCAGTTCTGACGCTCACGTCCCCATTGAAGGAGCTTTCGGCAGTGGACAGAGTTCATCATAGGCACTCTGACTGGTCTGCAGCGACGCAGCCCCGTACGCAGAAAACTGTGATGCACTGTGTGTTCTGACGTCTTTCTATCATGGCCAGCATTACGTTTTACAGCAATTTGAGATACAGTAGCTCTACTGTGTGATCGGACCAGACTAGTTATCCTTTGTTCCCAATGTGCATCAATGAGCCTCGGGCACCCATAACCCTGACGCCAGGTTCATCAGTTATCCTTCCTTGCACCACGTTCGGTAGGTACTAACCACTGCATACCGGGAACACCCAACAAGATTTGCAGTTTTGGAGATGCTCTCACCCAGTCGTCTAGCCATCATATTTAGCCCACGTCAAAGCCCATTTTTCCTGCTTCCAACATATCAACGTTTGCTGCCTAAATTACCCCAACCCTTAGCAGGTGCCATTGTAACAATATAATCAATGTTATTCACTTCCCCGGTCAGTGGTTTTAATGTTGCGGCTGATTATTGTACAGGCTTTTATCTGTCCTGCACCTGGCATACATGTTGAGAAAGATTATGAACTAAAAACAAGAAACAAGATGCAAAAGAACAAAGTCATGAATTAAAAAGGTCAGACACAGTGTTTGTAGTTTTAGTGATTAGTGTTACATTACTGATGGTATGGGGATGAAGAGAGGTGTATTAGATGTAAATTATAGGAAAGCACTGAATATGTGTCTATTAACATCTGATATGAAATGCAATAATGTGTAACCGATTCCTGTAACATGTAAATAGTCATTTATTGGCTGCATGTAAGACACAATATCACATCAGCAACATGTCTCTCACCCTCAGTTTCCGCAGAACCTTTTTCCTCTGTTTATCTGTTATGGTGACGCTGTTGAGCAGGGCATCAAAAATATGGCTGCCGGCCTGGTTGCAAGCGACGGTCAAGAGGTCGACCTCTGTCATGTTCCCCAAGCTGTTTAGCGCTGGCATTGGGTCTTCAAAATGGAGGAGATGTTGCACAAGCAGGGAGCCATGATAGTTCACCGTCTCCAGCTTGCGCTCTGTGTTAACCTGAAATAGAAATGAAGCATATTCATTGTAAAAAAAACACACAAAAACAAACAGGCAGTATGGGAGCGCAAACAGAAAGGAAGTTCGCTCACCGGATGTTCTGAAGCCGATTTTTCCTTCTCTTCCTTCTCCTCTTCTTCTTCTTTGTTAAAATAAACCTCATAGGTGAGTAGTGAGAGGAGAAGAGGCACGCACGTCACCTGGCGGGATGTTGGCACTGCACAGTGGAATGCCTGCAATGTTTTATAGTGCAAGTAAGATATGACGCATGTAAGATGTAGAATACGCTAGGGATCGACCGATTATAGGTTTTTGCCGATATTAGGTATCAGCCTATACAGATACTGATATTGCCAATAATACATATCAGGACCGCTGGGCCCATTACAAGCCCGGCGGTCCTGGGGGGCCCGCAGCAAGCTGTTACTTATCTCCCCAGCAGCTCCCCGTGTAAATCTTGCGAGTCACGACCATCAGAGCATTGCCACGGGTCGCTTCACGCAAACCGCGAGATTTACACAGGGAGCTGAAGGGAAGGTAAGTAACAGCTTGCTGCAGGCCCCCCCCCACTGCTCAGTACATGCCACTGGACCACCAGGGAATGCCATAGCCCCCCTCCCTGGCCAGATAAAAAGCAGGGAGGGGGGATAAAAAAATAAAATAGAATTATTAAAAATAAAATTTAAATAAAAATGCCCCCCCCCCCGCATTTTACACAAATTACATCCCTTCAGAAACACACAAACACACTCTGCATTATATACACACACACACTACACAAACACACTGCATTCACTTTACACACACCACATTCACTACACAAACACACACACACTGCATTCACTATATACACACACACTACACAAACACTCACTGCATTCATTATATACACACACACTACACAAACACACACAGCTCCCCTGTTTAAACACACTGCATCCACTACGTGGCATGTATATTTTGTGCATTTACCTTTAGAAATAGTTTATTTTTTTCAAAATGGTAAATGTACAGAATATCAACTATCAGCCTGAAAGTTCACAGATTATCGGTATCAGCTCTAAAAAAAAAAATCAATATCGGTCGATCCCTAGAACATGCTACAGCCCTTTATATCACACACCTCCATAAGCTGGGATACAAGCTCCGTCTGGCATCGTTTCAACCTCTTGCAGGCATCAGCTAGATTTGTAATGATCCCCATGTGACCTTTGGCTAAAATGTTCTCAAGACCTCCACCCAACTCTTCAATAATGGAGGAAAACTACAGAGAGAGAACAGCGTATGGTCAAACATACTGCACCTGGTACAATTTACAGAAAATCATTCAACACACATTAATTCCAGTTCAGCAAAGCAGTCTGAAAGCTCCACTTGGCAGCAGGGGAGGTCGCGTGAAGAACCCCAGTTTAAAAGGAACATTATAGTCACCCAGATCACTTTATCTCATTGAAGTGGTCTGTGTGCAGTGTCCCAGGTCTCTTAACCCTTTTAATAAACTGCAATAATTAGCTTTGTAGGGTTACTCCACCTCTAGTGACTGTACACCAGACAGCTACTAGAGGGACTTCCGGGCAGGTCGCCTGACGCTGGACGTCCTCACACTATCCTTGAGGATATGCCATGTCACCAATATCCCCAAAGGAAAGCCACACATGTGCATTTGTTCTCCCCCACCTGCTGAGTTCAGCGAGGAGGATCGGAGGCAGATCCGAGCTTGCGCCGAGGGTGCTGGACTAAGATAAGTCACAGAAGGGGTTTTTAAGGGACGTGGGCACTATAGGGAGCTATAGTGCCAGAAAAACTAGTTTGTTTTCCTGGCACTAGTTTCCATTTAACCCTGCATTTTGTTTTTATAAACATCAGTGTTTACATTGCATTGTTAAGACTGCCTCTAGTGGCAGCACTAAGACAGCCTCAGCCCCGGAACAAGGTATATCAAACTTTTCTTTTGGACAACAAGAAAAAAAAAAAAGTAAAGCTTCAGAATACAGATTTGCATTGCTAACTCTATAGGGTTCCTTTAAGAAGGGGCTGGACTTTCTGTTAATCATTCTCCTAACAAAGGTGATTCCCCGCTGCTTAGACGGAAAGCTCGAAAAATTGCTTATGTTTACATTAAAGAAATGAGGGGATGTTTTAACATTATACAGAGATACACACAGAGTCAATAAAGCTCTCTGCTGACCTGTTCATTGACAGAACTTTATGAAGAAAATTGTCATCAACAGAGACTTGATTTTAAATGAATCTTTCACCTACTTGGCTGGAAACAGTTAAATTCTGAGCCTGCGGCGGGTGGCTTTACCATATTGTGGGGATAGTTTAATAAGGTCTAGATTATGTATTTTGCCAAATTAAGAAGAATATGATTAGCAATTGGATTTCTCTTTATGTGATCAATCTGTTAATAACATTTAGCTGTGAATGAGCCCTTATTTCCCCCGGAGTTCAATTTATTTTCTTTGCGGATCAATAGATTCCAGGGTGTGTAAAACTCGCTTAAAAGATGCAAGCTCTTCAACCTATATTACTACAAAAAATTGGACCAAATTGACAATCAGTACTATGAGAAGATCCGTCCTTGATTTCCTCCTCTGCTGGACTTGAAGAAGATAGGTAGGTAGACGGACTCACCATTTTTTTGGTCTGGGTAGAGGAGATCAGCCTTTGCACAGTGTAGTTGGCAATGGGGTGGCAGGAGAGGGCTTCGAGCTGTCCTTGGAAGTGTTTTCGGAACAGTCGTCGTAGCTGCTTCTTCTCAGAAACTTCCAGAATCTTCTCCAGGAGCCGGCTACTTGTCTCATCTTTCAAGAACACCAAGAGAGAGCTGCAGGAGGCAACCCGAGAGGAGTTAAAACCGCTTGAATCCAATAGACAACCTATGGTTCCCTAATAGTGATAAAATGGATTACATGGCTGACCTAATAAACAGCCAAAGGTACTCTGAATGTTTCTAAATTTAAAGTGACACGGAGCTGGATTTGACCCATTCTTTTTATAATTCATTATATAAAAAAACACATTAAAAATACACAGAGAAAGTATTAGAAATATTACCCCACATCCCCTGCTCCCAATTTCCATTCTATTTAGTGATACATACACTTGAATACTCCAAGCACCATAGCCACATCCACCTCCCCTTCCTGTTGCCATGCTTAGCTCGCTGGCTGATGTTCACAACCAATGAGCTTACGCAGGAGAGCTAATCGAAGACCCTAAGGAAACTGAAGCAAAGCATCTTAGCTAGCTCACCTGCTCTCTGCTGACACGTTGCGAGAGGACAGATAATCAATCACTTGGTCGCACAGTTCAGCACATGCCGAAGGAACTTTCCGTTGCAGAATCTGGAGGGCAACCTGCATCCCGAGGCTGGCGATTTTATGCGTGGCAAATACTGTCGTTACAAGGAAAAGGAATTAGCAACTACACTGTGATTACCAAATTAGAAACAGAGAAACCCCCCCAGCAGAGAACGTACCTCCAATTAGATCCGAGAAACAGCTACACAGGTCCTGTAACTGCTGCAGGAAAGTCTCTGGCACTTCAAACTCAGATTTTACTGGCAAAAAAAAAAAGACAGACTGGTATAAATCCAGTGAAGGACACGGAAATGAGGTAGTAGTATAGTATAGCTCCTACTGCTGCAACCAACAATACATGTACATATCAAAGTTTGTATGACAAACACTGTGTGAAGTTGCCTCCAGGCTACAGATCATTGCTAACCAAACTTGGCCCAGGTTTTGGTGGCAGAATAGAAATGGTTTAACATTAACAAAAAATGATTTCACAACCACTGCAGTAAGCTGTGCATTAAAGGGACACTATAGTCACTAAACAACTTTAGCTTAATGTGGCAGTTTTGGTGTATGGCTCATGCCTCTGAAGTTCCATTGCTCAATTCTCTGCCATTTAAGTCAAATCACTTGTATTTCTGTTTATACAGCCCCAGCCACACCTCCCCTGTCTGTGACTGACACAGCCTGCATGAAAACAAAATGGTTTCATTTTTAATCAGATGTGACTTAATATATAAGTTTTTATCTCATTCTCTGTAAATTGAACTTTAATCACACACAGGAGGCGCCTGCAAGATCTAGCATACTATTAATAAAGCAGTAGATAAGAAAATGTAATTTAAGCAAATCTCCAATAAAATAAGTGTAAACATTAAAGGAATCTTTACAGGGAGTATTTAGAAGGCTGTGTAAGTCACAAGCAGGGAGGTGTGCCTAGACCTGCATAAACACCTAAATGGCAGAGAATTAAGCAGTAAGACTGCAGGGGTAAACGATCTATACACCAAACTGTTATACTAAGCAAAAGTTATTTTGGGGACTACAGAGTCTATTTAAGCTATAGTGATGGTGCTTAGATTGTACCATTAAAATATCTGCACTAGGACATGTGGGATTATCCCCCTTTCTGTAAGATACTGTGCTATGTTTGCGATTACCTGTTAATCCCTGGGCGCCTTTCCTTCTCTCCGTCTCAGAGTTCAGGATAACCCCACTGAGCACCTGGAAAAGGGTCCGCACAATAAAGCTCCCGTGGACACTCTGATTATACTGCAGAAACTTTTCCTTCACCTCTGAACAAAGACTGAAAATCAGCTCCTCCAAACTGCTACAAGGCTGGACATCAAGGTCCTCGTCAGACTCGTCTTCTTCCGGCTGGTTCTGAAGTCGCGGATACTGCAGGAGAGCAGTCTGGATGACATGCGCCCCGCTTCGGTGCCAGCACACAGCCTGCCAGTTCGCACTCAATGCGCTCAGCACCTGACACAGCTGGGCAGACGTGGCGACGGAAAGCAACTTCTGAAGCACAATACTTGCAGACATGTCTGTGGACAGAGCCAGCTCGTTTCCCTGCACCTCGTTAAACACATTCCTGACAAATAGACCTGTGAAGTGGAAAATACAGTCTGGTGAAAAGGTGGTGATGGTAAGATGGAATTACCCAAGCAATGTAAAAAGGGGACTCGACCCTAACACCTTCTAGAACTCTTTGAAGACAACACTAAAGTTGGAGCTATTTTTAATTTAGAAACCGTCTGTATTGTACCATAATTTTACTCATCACATCAAGGCTCCAGCAGCAAACACAATGATGCTAACCTAACAGAATAACCAGATAATAGACACGACAGTCTTATGAACATGTTATGTCTCTTCACTGTACGATTACTGTGATTATCTTAATTCCTTTAGTGAAATAATCAAATTACCAAAAATAAAAAATAAAAGTAAACAGAGTTTAAATGTTTTGCTCTATCAGGAGATGTTGGTGATTGAACTGCTTAGAAAATAATAAACAGGGGGAAAAAAAATCCCCTTGGGGATAGACATTAGATCATTGTGCTAATGTGCAGAGCATGAAAATGGCTGACCTTCAGATATACCCTCAATGAAAAAATGACAAAATTAAAAGCATGCATGTTTTCCTTGGGGATATATCTATTAAAGGACCACTATAGTGCCAGGAAAACATATTTGTTTTCCTGGCACTATAGTGCCCTGAGGGTGCCCCCACCCTCAGGGACCCCCTCCCGCCCGGCTCTGGAAGGGGGAAAGGGGTTTAAACTTACCTTTTTCCAGCGCTAGGCGGGGAGCTCTCTGCCCCCTCTCCTCCTCCGTTCCGCCCCGTCGGCTGAATGCGCACGCACGGCAAGAGCTGCGCGCGCATTCAGCCCGTCGCATAGGAAAGCATTTACAATGCTTTCCTATGGACGCTTGCGTGCTCTCACTGTGAAAATCACAGTGAGAAGCACGCAAGCGCCTCTAGTGGCTGTCAATGAGACAGCCACTAGAGGAAATAGGGGGAAGGCTTAACCCATTCATAAACATAGCAGTTTCTCTGAAACTGCTATGTTTATGAAAGAATGGGTTAACCCTAGCTGGACCTGGCACCCAGACCACTTCATTAAGCTGAAGTGGTCTGGGTGCCTAGAGTGGTCCTTTAATGCGTGTTTTGTTTTCTATTTGGGCAGTAGAATGCTCGTTTTAATTGTGCCTGCCGCAATACTTGCTCAGCAATTTGAGTTCCTTATAATTTGTCATATTATGATTCTTTCGGTCTTGCCCTATTCTCTGATATTGCAAGGAGATCCACACTGACACTCAAAAAGTGTTTATATCAAGATTCCGGTCAGAATCCCTTACCTCGGTCTTCATCTGACTCAAAGTCTTGCTGCAGAGTATCTCCCACCCTTCGGAAGTACCCCACAGATTTGGGGTCTAGTCTAGGAATGGCAGAGTCAGCAGAACCCTTTTTGTCCTCGTTTTTGGATGACTTTGTTGGTTTGCCTTGAGCGGTCTTGTGTTGTTTCGATTGCTTTGTGGGTGGATCTTCTGTGTTTGCCTTTTCTGTCTGCTGGTTTTTTCGTTTCTTCCCATTCATCTTGTTTTTTTCCGTGCCCATCTTACAAAGTTTCCTCAACTATTATCTGTATATAAAAAAAAAAGTCAAGCCAGAACCGTTGATACAGGAACAATATGATTAACGCAAATCAGTCAACAGAATGTTATGATATTATCACACTATTATTAAACCACAAACATACTCCACACAAAATACTTTATTGTGCCATGACATACAGACTGCAATGGCCCCTGGCTGCCATGTATTCACCTATAAGATCTTCTGACCAATGTTTCCCTACAAAAAACGTGTTAAAGCTTATGTGATCCCAAATAGCAAAAATGAAAGCGTTAAGGTAACATGTTACAGTATTAGTTCTAATAATACAGACTCTGATCACCCCTAACATGGATTATAGTGATGAGATTAGTAGTTCTCAGGGAATGTGAGCCCAGAATGTCAGTATTCATGCCATGGACTGTATGACCCAGTTAATGCCCAAGGACTAACCCGGTGATTATGGGGTTAAAGCCCATGCAGGACATTACCCGTGCCTGTTACCTGAATACCAGTCCAGCAAGGCAGCATGGCTTCCAACTGCACTCACAGGGAGCCGAGTGATGACATCATCAGAACGCGCCGTTTCCTGTCCCAGAACATGCTCTGTACAGTGAGCTGAGAGCTGTATGGTGGGAACTGAAATACCTCTACTATCCATGTATAGTGTGTGTCACCCTGCCCCCCCTTTATTTACACCCTATATACTGTATGTCACCCTGCCCCCCTTTATTTACACCCCATATACTGTGTCACCTTGCCCCTTCCCCCCTTTATTTACACCCTATATACTGTGTCACCCTGCCCCCCTTTATTTACACCCTTATACTGTATGTCACCCTGCCTCTCCCCCCTTTATTTACACCCTATACACTGTCACCCTGCCCCCCTTTATTTACACCCTATATACTGTATGTCACCCTGCCCCCATTTATTTACACCCTATATAGTGTATGTCACCCTGCCCCCCTTTATTTACACCCTATATAGTGTATGTCACCCTGCCCCCCTTTATTTACACCCTATATACTGTCACCCTGCCCCCCCTTTATTTACACCCTATATAGTGTATGTCACCCTGACCCCCTTTATTTACACTCTATATACTGTATGTCACCCTGCCCCCCTTTATTTACACCCTATATACTGTATGTCACCCTGCCCCCATTTATTTACACCCTATATAGTGTATGTCACCCTGCCCCCCTTTATTTACACCCTATATAGTG